ACTACTACTACTACTACACTACTACTACTACTACTACTACTACCACTTCTACTACTAACTACTACTACTACTACTACTACTACTACTACTACTACTACTACTACTACTACTACTACTACTACTACTACTACTACTATCACTACTACGACTGCGACAGCTACTCCGAGTACTACTACTACTACTACTACTACTACTACTACTACTACTACTACAACTACTACGACTACGTACGACTACGCTTAATAGTATAAACCACTACTACTACCACTACTACTTGTACTATTACTACCACTACTACTACTACTACTACTACTACTACTACTACTACTACTACTACTACGACTACTACGACTACTACGACTACCACTACTACTCCTTCTACTACTACTAACTACTACTGCTGCTACTACTACTCCTACTACTTCTACGTACTACTACTACTACTCCTACTTACTACTCCTACTACTACTACTACTACTAATACTACTACTACTACTACTATACTACTACTACTACTACTATTACCACTACTACTGCTACGACGACGACTACTACGACTACTACGACTACTACTACTCCTACGAATGCCACAACAACTACTACTACTACTACTACTACTACCACTAGTACTACTACTACTGCTACTACTACGAATACTACTACGACGACGACGATGACAACTACTACTAGTACTACTACTACTACTTCTACGACGACTACTACTACTACTATTACTACTACTACTACTACTACTACTACTACTACTACTACTACTACTACTACTACTACTACTACTACTACTACTACCACTACGATCCCTACGACTACCACAACCACTACTACAGCTACTACTACTACTACTACTACTACTACTACTACTACTACTACTACTACTACTACTACTGCTACTACTACGATTGCCATTGTGAGACGGATCGTCCACAACTGCTCGCGTCCATTACAACGTGTATATATATATATATATATATATATCCCAAACCCTCGATGCCTGCCCTCTGCCCCTTCAATCGTCCTTCAATCGTACCCCTTGGGGGAATATCTTCCTTACCTGCCACGTGCATTGAATGAAGTCCCTAAAACTCGGGAAGAGAGGACGGATTAAAGAGGAGGGAAAAAGGATGGAGCACAAGAGGGGAACAGAAAAGACGTGGCAGAACGACACGGTCAGATCGGTTGGGCAGACCCTAGCGGGCGGGTCGGGAAGGCCGGCCCAGGCGGCCAGGTCGAGAGGGTGGGTTGCTGAAACGTGGGTATCGCGTGAATCGCGAGGAAAGCTCGAACTATAGCGCGACGCCCAAGAAAAAGGACAAGGCGAAAGCGAGAGCGTTGTTCCTAAGTGTCGAGGACGCGGCGTCTGCGTGAATTGTGAAAAGTCCCACGCGAGAGCGCGATCCCTGCAAAACTTGTCGGGAAGTCCCGCGCGAGAGCGCGATTTTGAGTTAAACTGTGAAGGGAGCCGTGGTTGTTGTAGCCCCGGGCCAAAGACACAGTTTGAGAAGTAAAACTTTCCCTGATATGATAAGTCACAGGATGCGGGCCCCGGAGGGGGCACTTCAAGTGAAATATAATGTGTGCACCGGTGCGCGGGGATGAACAATAACTGTTCTTCTAGAATGAGACCTAAACAACAACAACAACAACAACAACAACAACAACAACAACAATCATTTTACCCGAACGCGTGGTGTTCTCCCCAGTGCCAGGGTTTTCATACGACACCAGGCAATACCCCCACTTCGTGGGGGGGCATTACAAGCTCTACCAAATATCCAAACGACTCTTCGCGACCACCCAAACCCAGCTTCCCGCCCTATGACGTTGGGACACTTCACTTCGTGGCGTGCGGACGACCGTGGCTACTACACTGGCGTGGGGTACACACCCACAGAACTTGGTCACTTATTCGGGGCGCGCATGTGCCCAGCATGGTGCAATTGTGCCATACAATACATAATACAGAGAGACGAATGTGTCCCGCATGGTATTATTTGACAGGGATGATGGCCCTGGCAGGTGCGCAACCGTTGTCGCAGAAGTTCGAAAAATTGCTCGCAAAAGCCCGTTTGACAGAAATGTTTAAAAAGTGTTGGGTTTCCTACGAATCCGCAAGAGCGCGCGGGATGAGATTTTGACATTTTTTTGTTGAAAAACCATTGGTTTTTTGATGTTTTTATGTTAAAATCGCTCCGAACACTAAGCTTTTGGAAGGATTTCGTCTTGCGCGCGCGAATGTCCACTTTACCTTATTTTTTGCAAGGGATTCTTGAAATTTGATTATATTAGAACAAGAAATGTCATTTTATAGTGTTTTTTGCAAGGGAAAGCGGATTACAACAAAACAACCGGATCTTGATGACATCGAATTACCTGAGGCTTCCTCACGAAAATGATGAAAATGTAGCTGCGGCCTAGGCGGCGCAGGGGGGCGTGCACCAGGGGGCCCAACAATAATTATTCTTTAGAATTAATAATGTTCAACAACAACAACAACAACCATTTTAAGGCTGTACGCTCTTACTTGCCCGCGAGTCATTCAACACGTATACCCTACACCCTCGATACCCGCCCTCTTCGTCTTCGATCACACCCCTTTCGGGGGGATTATTTCTCTTTGCTGGGGCCGGCGGGCTTAGACGTACGGGCAAACCGGAACGGGCGGACAATCCTTCGGGGGCGTACATCTCTCTGCCCGCCATTGGAATTGGCGCGGGCCCTGCAAGAGGAGGAGGGGAAGAACGAGGGAGAGTGGGAGGAAGGGGAGGGGGAAGGACGAAGGAAGAGGGAAGATACCACGTTGTGAAGGCGTCCTTGGCGCGTGCGTGGTTCCTGAGCGCCGAAACGCAATTCCAGAATAATTTGTGAGGACGTCGCACGCGAGAGCGCAGTCCTGAGTACATTGTGAGGAAATCTCAGGCGGAAGCGGGGGCCCTGACTAAGTTGCGAGGAAGTCTCAAGCGGGAGCGCCGTTCCTGAGCAAATTGCACGGAAGTCTCAGGCGGGAGCGGGGGTCCTCACTAAATTGCGAGGAAGTCTCAGGCGGGAGCGCCGTTCCTGAGTCAATTGCGCGGAAATGTCAGGCAGGAGCGGGGGTCCTGAGTAAAATTCGAAGAAGTCTCACGCGGGAGCGCCGTTCCCACGTAAATTGCACGGAAGTCTCAGGCGGGAGCGGGGGTCTTGATTACATTGCGAGGAAGTCTCAGACGGGAGCGCCTTTCCTGAGTAAATTGCGCGGAAGTCTCAGGCGGGAGCGGGGGTCCTGAGTAAAAATCGAGGAAGTCTCAGGCGGGAGCCGTTGTTGTTGTAGCCCGGGGGGCAGGGGCACAGTTTGAGCAGGAAGACTTTCCTTGAGAAAAAACAAGGTGCGAGCCCCGGGGGTGGCACTTCAATCGAAAAAAATCAATGTGCACCGGTGGGGGGGGATCAACAATAATTATTCTTCAAGAATGAGAGTTCAACAACAACAACCACAACAACAACAGCAATAGTCATTTTAAGACTGTTCGCTCTTACTTGCCCGCGTGCCATGCAACGTGTATACCCACGCCCTCGATACCCGCCCCCTTCGTCTTCGAGCGTACCCCCTTCTGGGGGGATTCTTTCTTTTTGCGGGGGCGGGCGGGCTTGCACAAGCGGGCGTGAACGGGCGGGGAATTATTCGGAGGATGGGGCACGCATCTCTTTGCCCACCATTGGAATTAGCGCGGGCCCTGCAAGAAGAGGAAGGGGGAGAACGAGGGAGAGTGGGAGGAAGGGAGGGGGAGGGACGAGGCTAAAGGGGAACACGCCAGGAGAGAGGGGGCGAGGAGGGGGGGGGACGATTGGAGATAGAGAGACAGAGGAGGGAGGAAGGAGGAGGCTGGAGAGGGGAGGGCGAAGAGAGGAGGGAGGAGTGTTATGGGAGGAGGGTGTGGGGAGAGAGGAAGAGGAAGGAGGAGGGTGGATATGAGGGAGAGGGGGGGGGAGGAGGGAGGTTGGATGGGGAGGAAGGGGCAGGAGGGTAAGAGTGTGAACGTTCGAGGAAGTCCTAGGCGAGGGCGTACTCCTCAAGGAAGAGTTGGGCGGGAGCGGGGGTCCCGAGTACATTGTCGGACGTCTCAGGCGGGGGCGCTGGTCGGGCGGGCGGACCCTGGCGGGCGGGTCGGGCGGGCGGGACATTCAAACGGGATTTTTGTGCAAATTGCGGGGAAGTATTAAGCGAGAGCGCGATTCCTAAGTAAATTGCGAAGGCGTCCTCGGCGCGAGCGTGATTCCTGAGCGTCGAGAACGCGATGCTGCAATAAATTGCGAGGAAGTCCTAAGCGAGAGCGCCATTCCTGAGTAAATTATGAGGAAGTCTCGGGCGGGAGCAGGGGTCCTGAGTAAGGAAGTCTCAAGCGGGAGCGCCGCTTTTGAATAAAATGTGAGAAAGTCTGAAGCGGGAGCGCCCTTCCGGAGTAAATTTTGAGGAAGTCTCAGGCGGGAGCGGGGGTCCTGAGTAAATTGTGAGGAAGTCTCAGGCGGGAGCCGTTGTTGTTGTAGCCCGGGGCCCAACAACGCAATCTGATCCGCAAGGCTTTCCCTGTCAAAAAACAGAGTGCGAGCCCCGGAGGAAGCACTTCAATTGAAAAAACCAATGGGCACCGGACAGGGGGGGATCAACAATAATTATTCTTCAGAAATGAGAACGCAACAACAACAACCGCAACCACAACTACAACCACAACCGCAACAACAACCACAACGACAACCACAACCACAATAACAACAAAAACAACAACAAAAAAACAACAACAACGAACCGCGTGTCAGTCAATATGCATATCCCATCAATCGCACCCCCTTAGAGAGGGAAGATCTTCCGTGTCAGCCACTGACTGAAGTGCGAGGAAATCTCGAGCGAGAGCGCCGTTCCTGAGTTCGGGGCCTTTCTGGCCAGGGCCTTTGTCACCGTGGCTGGGCTCCCAAACCACGAAACGCCCGAGGGGGGCGGAGGGTCTGGCCTCCGGACCGTCCCTGCACGCCAGTAAAAAGCACTCCCGGAGCCGGTTGGGCACGCCGTCCTGCCGCGCGCCGGGCGCGGCGGGCGCGGCAGCGGCCCAGGTCGGAGGGCGCCAGGCGCCGCGCCGAAGGCGGCGGCGGCCGCTTCGCGTCGGCGGGTGTCAGGTGCCGCGCCGATGGCGGCGGCGGCGGCGGCGGCTGGGGTCGGCGGGCGTCAGGCGCAGCGCTCAGACGGCGGCGGCGGCGGCGGCAGCTCGGGTTGGCGGGCGTCAGGCACCGCGCCAAGGGCGACGGCGACGGCAGCGGCGGCAGCCCGGGCGGCAACGGCGGCGTCGGGAGATCGGGTCGGCGGGCGTCGGGCGCCGCGCAAAGGTGGCAGCGGCGAAGACGGCGGCAGCGGCGGCAGCTCGGGGCGACGATGGTTCATGTTTCATATTTCCGCCCCCCCCGCCGGGGGGACCTCCAAGCCTCCGTGGGCCTCCGCGGGCCTCGGGGCTCTGCAGGCACGGCGCGGCCGAGCGGGCGGTCCGCGCTCTCCTACGCATGACCTCTCTTTCTTCCATCAACCTCCTCCTCCCAAGACTCATCCTCCCCCCAATCCTCCTTGTTTCTCCTCTTCCCAATCCTCCATGACTTCCTCCTCCTGCTCCTCTTCCTCCTCCCGCCTCCTCCTCCTCCTCCTCCTCCTCCTCCGCCTCTTCCTCCTCCTCCTCCTTTTCCTCTTTCTCCTCCTCCTCCTCCTCCTCCTTTTCCTCCTCCTCCTTCTCCTCCTCCTCCTCCTCCTCCTCCTCCTCCTCCTCCTCCTCCTAGTCGCCGCGAGGGGCCCAAACATTGATCGACCGTGCCCACTCGCAAGAGTGATAGACTCCGACTTGCACAGGGCACCCCCAAGGACAGACGACGGCCAGAGAAGGAGGGGGGAGATCTCTCGCGCGCGCGCCATGAGATCGACCCGCAACAGACAATAGGAAATGAAGGTTACCGCTTTCACCCCCTACGCAGCAAGTAGATCAGAACGACTAGAGGACATTAGTATTACGCTCAGGGACGCGTACATCGTGCTGCTGGGTGGAACACACGAGTGGGCAGGAGCGGAAGCGACAAATAATTACCCTGTGACGCACCCAACCATTTTTATACATGTGGCATATAATACTCAAGACCACTCAATGCCCACTAGCATTCAGTTGCGCAGATCGCAAGCCCCCCAGGGGGGGCGACGTCCCGAGGTGATCCGCGTATGACGTACCTCCGCTGGGCCTCCCACGAGCCCACGAAAGTGGCGACAGTTGCGCAGATTCCAAGCCCCCCAGGGGGCGGCGAGGTCCCGAGGTAGTCCGCGTACGAAGTACCTCTGCTGGGCCTCCCCGGAGCCCACGACGGAGGCGACAGTTGCGCAAATCGCAAGCCCCCCAGGGGGCGGCGAGGTCCCGAGGTGGTCCGCGTAGGACGTGTTTCCGCTGGGCGTCCCAGGAGCCCACGAAAGTGGCGACACTTGCGCAGATTCCAAGCCCCCCAGGGGGCGGCGAGGTCCCGAGGTGGCCCGCGTATGACGTACCTCCGCTGGGCCTCCCAATCAGTCAGTCACAAACCGTGCACCCGGGCGGACGCATAGGCAAGACGAGTTGTGCACGTTGGCACGCTCGTCAATGGAATGGAATGGAATTGAAGTCTGAGTGCCAGCTCCGGTACCCGGATCGGTCCCCTAGAAATCAGACCGTGCGCTGAGCATGTCGGAGAATGAGTGGAGGCAGCGAGCACACGCGGGAAAATGCGATGAACCAATTTTCTGGCGCGCAGGTACTCGATCAGAGAAACCCTGCCGGCTAAGAAGGGCAAGAGGAGGAGGAGGAGGAGGAGGAGGAGGGGGAGGAGGAGGAGGAGGAGGAGGAGGAGGAGGAGGAGGAGGAGGAGGAGGAGGCAGAGGAGGAGGAGGGGGAGGGGAGGGAGCGCGATGGACTACATCTGACGCACTTCGGATGCCCATTGCTGGCGCGGAAGTCCTCTCTTGCGGCGGGCGACCCACGCGCTAGGCGACCCGTCTGCGTTGAAAAGCACAAGCTTCACAAACGAATTAGCATCGTAGTTGGCGGTGTTGTTGTACAACGGTTTCGTTGAAGCTTGCTCTAAGACAATATCGTTGCGCACTCTAGATGTGCACGTTGATGGGATGCCCAATAGTCGGCGCACACACCTATAATGAAAAGCGAGCAGACGAGCACGATCACCTTGAAGCAGCCAAAGAAAGCCCAATGAATAAACCAGCTTGCTCAAAACGACGCTGTCGTGGATCTTGCATTTCCGCTTCCACCCAAGAGAAAATGTTGTCCACGTTGTGTCCAATTGCTTGACTGCCCGGCTCGCCTCTCCCAGCCTTCTGGACAATTCGGTTGCAGCCCTCCCATCGCAAAACACCAGGCCTCCCAGATATACAGCGTCCCGGACTGTCTTGATGTCGCCCCCATCTGGTCGCATGATCTTCCTGTTAGTAGACATCTACATCTGCACAGTCGTGTCCCAATACAAAGATAAGCCATACCCGCGCCCTTCTTCCACGATCGCGTCCAACATGATTTTGAGTTTCGCCTGGTGCTGAGAGCCAAATACTGCGTCGTCTGCATGTAACGCGCCACGTGTAACCACATACCCGGGCTCTCGTTCAAGATGTAATGTGTCAACCGCATCGTGCAACATTGTCGTCTGGACCGCGATGAAGAGGTACGGGGAGGGCGGACACCCTTGCGCAATCCCAGCGCTCTGTCGTCTTTCAGATGAAGTACCAGTACGATCAGAAATAACAAAGAAGCGGGTCGCATATATGGAACGCACCATTTCCACAATTTCGGGAGGGAGCCCGAATCTGTGCAAAGCTTTGCACATGGAAGCAGGATTAAATCTGACAAGCGCCTTGGCCCAATCCAACATCAACACCACTATCCCATTATCGTTGCGATTGTGTGCAATATCAATCATACGCTTTACGAGCATGAGAGCGCCCCCAGTGCCACGTCCAGGACGAACACCATATTGTGAGTTACGCATGCGCTTCTCTGAGCCTCCACGAATCATACGTTGATGAATCAGCGACGCTAGTATGTTGTAGCCAATCGACAGCAACGAACTAGGCCTGTAGTTTTATGAGGAGCAGTGTCCCTTTTTTTCAAACAATGAAAGTACTTCGGCTCTCCTCAAACATTCCGGGATCGACTTCCTGGCCCAGCATTATTGACACAGCCGTAATAATATACCATTTGCGTCTGCGTCGTATATGGGAATCTTCCAAACATCTGATGATATGTCATCTGGACACGCAGCCTTCCCATACCTCAACTTCTTCAAGACCTCCAGCAACTCCTCCATTCAACAACTGTCTGTGCTGATGGGCAAGACTCCCTCGAGCGGAATATCACAGTCTGGCTGGAGATTGGGGTATCGATTTTGCTACTGAACTGCCTCAAAATAGTCAGCCCTGGTGTGTGATCTTGCCGTCGTGTCTGACAAAGCGCCATTTGGCTTATTGATGTATGCGTGCTTGGTTGCTTTAGGTTTGCAAAGATACTTCACAGCTTTCCAGCTGCCGCCACCCGCAAATTCGTCCAGCCAAGATCAACGATCTTGTTGGCCAGGCTGCCGGATCAACTTGTTAAGGATCTTCTCGTTGTGGTAGTCCCCCTTTTGACGACAAACCTTTGGTTTCCCGATAAGGTCGAGTGTGTGTGTGTGTGAACTTGTCCACGGACGTCTGGGAAGAAGCTCTGTTTCTGGTATGGCCGATGCGGCTGCATGGAAAGCTTGTGCAATGTCGTCCACTGCGTCGTCCACGGCTGCTCTTCGCATAGTCCGTGCACGCTGCGGTCTTGAAAATAGTTAGAAATTCGTGTCTGACATGTGTCTGTTTCAATGCTGCCTTGCCCTGTGCCTTCATATCACGTTTCGCACCAACTTCAAATTTAATCGATACTTCAATAACGGTAAGAAAATGTTGGCTATTGATTGGTTCCTCCCTGCACGTCCAGGAATAAGAATAGTAGGGAGGCAGCTGCTGTGGCAGAGTACGTGGTCAATTTTAGCAAATGCTGCGTGCTCGATGGACGCCATCGGACGAACGCCAAGGTCTCGGTATGATACTGTCTTCTCGTTGGGGTGAACGAAAAAGGTGTTAGCGATCACAAGGTCGCACGCGAAACAAGTCCCGACCAAAAGATGCCGATTCAGAGTCACATCATTCACACTGCCGTAGGTCGTCTCGTACAAGTGCGGGCCGATGACGTCCTCCTCCCCGGCTGTCCTCTGGAGCAGCCTGGCGTTGAAGTCGCCCAGAACGTATGACGTTGAGTGTTCCTTAGTGCTGCGCACGTGCATTTGGAGGGTATGGTAAAATGTGCGTCTGATGTTGTAGTCGACCCCATTGTGGCGACAGTTGCGCAGATCGCAAGCCCCCCGCGGCGAGGTCCCGAGGTGGACCGCGTATGACGTACCTCCACTGGGCCTCCCAGGAGCTCACGAAGTGGCGACAGTTGAACAGATCGCAAGCACCCCGCGGCGAGGTCCCGAGGTGGTCCGCGTGGGACCCACCTCCGCTGGGCCTCCCAGGAGCCCACGAAAGTGGCGACAGTTGCGCAGATCGCAGTTTCACAGATCGCAGCCCCCCAGGGATGGCGAGGTCTAATTTAAATGTACGGTGGGTACCCACTGTGCTGGGCCCCCCAGCAGGCCTCGAAAGTGGCGACAGTTTCACAGATCGCAGCCCCCCAGGGATGGCGAGGTCTAATTTGAATATGCGGTGGGTACCCACTGTGCTGGGCCCCCCAGCAGGCCTCGAAAGTGGCGACAGTTTCACATACCGCAGCCCCCCAGGGATGGCGAGGTCAAATTTGAATCTGCAGTGGGTACCCACTGTGCTGGGCCCCTCAGCAGGCCGCGAAAGTGGCGACAGTTTCACAGATCGCAGCCCCCCAGGGATGGCGAGGTCTACTTTAAATTTGCAGTGGGTACCCACTGTGCTGGGCCCCTCAGCGGGCCGCGAAAGTGGCGACAGTTTCACAGATCGCAGCCCCCCAGGGATGGCGAGGTCTAATTTAAATCGCGGTGGGTACCCACTGTGCTGGGCCCCCCAGCAGGCCGCGAAAGTGGCGACAGTTTCACAGATCGCAGCCCCCCAGGGATGGCGAGGTCCATTTGAGTCCGCCGTGGGTACCCACTGTGCTGGGCCCCCCAGCAGGCCGCGAAAGTGGCGACAGTTTCACAGATCGCAGCCCCCCAGGGATGGCGAGGTCCCATTTGAGCCCGCCGTGGGTACCCACTGTGCTGGGCCTCTCAGCAGCCCGCGAAAGTGGCGACAGTTTCACAGATCGCAGCCCCCCAGGGATGGCGAGGTCTAATTTAAGTCTGCGGTGGGTACCCACTGTGCTGGGCCCCCCAGCAGGCCTCGAAAGTGGCGACAGTTTCACAGATCGCAGCCCCCCAGGGATGGCGAGGTCTAGTTTGAATCTGCGGTGGGTACCCACTGTGCTGGGCCCCCCAGCAGGCCGCGAAAGTGGCGACAGTTTCACAGATCGAGGCCCCCCGAGGACGGCGAGGTACAATTTGAGTCCGCTGTGGGTACCCACTGTGCTTGGCCCCCCAGCAGGCCTCGAAAGTGGCGACAGATTCACAGATCGCAGCCCCCCCAGGGATGGCGAGGTCACATTTGAGTCCGCCGTGGGTACCAACTGTGCTGGGTCCCCCAGCAGGCCCCGAAAGTGGCGACAGTTTCACAGATCGCAGCCCCCCAGGGATGGCGAGGTCCCATTTGAATCCGCCGTGGGTACACACTGTGCTGGGCCCCCCAGCAGGCCTCGAAAGTGGCGACAGTTTCACAGATCGCAGCCCCCCAGGGATGGCGAGGTCTAATTTGAGTCCGCGCGTGGGTACCCACTGTGCTGGGCCCCCCAGCAGGCCTCGAAAGTGGCGACAGTTTCACAGATCGCAGCCCCCTCAGGGATGGCGAGGTCTAATTTGAATCTGCGTGTGGGTACCACTGTGCTGGGCCCCCCAGCAGGCCTCGAAAGTGGCGACAGTTTCACAAATCGCAGCCCCCCAGGGGTAGCGAGGTCACATTTGAGTCAGCCGTTGGTACCCACTGTGCTGGGCCCCCCCAGCAGGCCTCGAAAGTGGCGACAGTTTCACATACCGCAGCCCCCCAGGGATGGCGAGGTCAAGTTTCAATCCGCCGTGTGTACCCACTGTGCTGGGCCCCCCAGCAGGCCTCGAACGTGGCGCCGTTTCACAGATCGCAGCCCCCCAAGGATGGCGAGGTGCAATTTCAATCCGCCGTGTGTACCCACTGTGCTGGGCCACCCAGCAGGCCTCGAAAGTGGCGACAGTTTCACAGATCGCAGCCCCCCAGGGATGGCGAGGTGCAATATCAATCCGCCGTGGGTACCACTGTGCTGGGCCCCCCAGCAGGCCCCGAACGTGGCGACAGTTTCACAGATCGCAGCCCCCCAAGGATGGCGAGGTGCAGTTTCAATCCGCCGTGTGTACCCACTGTGCTGGGCCCCCCAGCAGGCCTCGAAAGTGGCGACAGTTTCACAGATCGCAGCCCCCCAGGGATGGCGAGGTCTAATTTGAATCCGCCGTGGGTACCCACTGTGCTGGGCCCCCCAGCAGGCCTCGAAAGTGGCGACAGTTTCACAGATCGCAGCCCCCCGCAGCCCCCCAGCAGGCCTCGAAAGTGGCGACAGTTTCACAGATCGCAGCCCCCCAGGATGGCGAGGTCCAATTTGAATCCGCCGTGGGTACCCACTGTGCTGGGCCCCCCAGCAGGCCTCGAAAGTGGCGACAGTTTCACAGATCGCAGCCCCCCAGGGATGGCGAGGTATTTGAATCCGCCGTGGGTACCCACTGTGCTGGGCCCCCCAGCAGGCCTCGAAAGTGGCGGCAGTTTCAGCAGGCCTCGATCGCAGCCAGCCTCTCAGGGATGGCGAGGTCAAGTTTCGATCCGCCGTGTGTACCCACTGTGCTGGCCCCCCCAGCAGGCCTCGAAAGTGGCGACAGTTTCACAGATCGCAGCCCCCCAGGGATGGCGAGGTGCAATTTCAACCCGCCGTGTGTACCCACTGCGCTGGGCCCCCCAGCAGGCCTCGAAAGTGGCGACAGCTTCACAGATCGCAGCCCCCCAGCTGGCACGCAGCGACGAGCGAGGCAAAGGCAGGGGGGAAGAGAGGGACGGGAGGGGGTGGGAAGGAGACGCGCGAGCAGTGCTCTATTCAAAACGAGAACCCAACGCAGGAGGGTTGGGAAAAAACACGACGATCAAGGACACCACACTGAGAGAGAGAGAGAGAGAGAGAGAGAGATGAGTGTGCTAGGCCCGCATCTTCCCAGCGAGCCAGGACTGGGAGGAGACGTACAGAGAAGATGCGAGGCGGCCAGGCTTGCTTGGAGACAGGGGGCGCTTTCTGGCCCGGCAAAACACCAAAGCTGATAACATATCTGCTGTTCACTGCTTTCGTGGTCGGCGCGGTCCTCAGCGGGCTTGAGGCTTCTTGTCCCCCCAGCAAGTTACACGAACGCCAGCGATGCTGTGCTTGCCAAGTACTGGCGAGCACCACCAGGGGGAGACATGAGATGGACGAGGGAAGAAGGCACGGTGCGATGCTACAGTATCGACAGGGTGCTCAGAGAATGGAAGATTGAGAGGAGTGCCGCTGCATTGCGAGTGCGAAGACTACGATGGTACCAGAGGTGGGCACAATACCCAAGGGATCGCAGAGCAGTAGTAGCAGCGGTGTTTGGAGAGTCTGCATTAGACATGTCAGACGGGGGGAGGAGGACCAAGGACGGGAGGATCACGGAAGAAACAACGCCATGGGCACAACCATGCCGTGATGACCTTACTGCCTTCGCAGCCGTAAGCGACGACGTGCGATCATGGTATTACGACCGTACCTCCTACGCCTACTTACACCTGGCACACCAGAATGGTATACATTGACATCGGCCGACCCTTCTACCTTGCGGAGTGCAGCAATGTGCTCGAGTATGCAGGACGGGGAGGACGGGGAGGAGGATGCCACAGAAATCCTGAAACAATACTGGTGTGACCATGTGTGTACAACGGAAATGGAAGCCCAAACATGTGGGAAAAAATTGCTACTGCGCAGGCCCTTGCGGGTCACAGGAGAGATGTACACGACGTTCGACCGCTTGTGGCACAGCTCGCTATTACTAACAAGTGCCCTTGGTGTTTGAGTACTTTCAATAATCAGCGCACAGCTACCGACCATGCGATATGTGATGCAGACCTAAACACGAAGTAACCGAGCCTCACCAAGAAGAGCTGGAGTGTAAGATCTGTAAGCAGCAGGCTCAAACCCTTGGTGAGTTCCACTTGCACGTCAGACATCATCACGTTGGCCCCAGTTCAGTGAGGTACACCAGAGACCAGAGTCTGCATAGCGATGTCGGCGGTGGCCTGGCACGTGGGAGCGATACCAAAAGAGCAGAAAAGAAGCGAGGAGGAGACGAAAGGGCAGGAAGGCTGATCAAAGAAGCACAAGGGCAACAACGGAGGAGGAGGTGGAGGAGGACCAGCAGCTCCACGGGCGCTCTCGGGTTCGCAGACCAACTCGCGGCCCTCCACCAGTTAGCGCTGAGGACCAGCCAGGAGACGAGGGAGCTGTTCCACCTCACTACGCTGTTCTGGCTCATGCCGATCATTTGCCAACTGGTCAAGGATATGATGGAGGCAGGCAAAGCGTACGCGGCGGCAGTCAGGGCGAAGGGCAAGGGACACGGGCCAGAGCCGCCTCATATCCACCTTCGCCTCAGCCTCATGCGAACACTGCTGAAAATGCTGGAGGTCATCGTCGACCCGGACGCCGCCGTGCTAGAAGCGAAGGACGTGCTGCACCACCTTAGCGGGCCCTGGAAACGACAAGGCCGTTTTTTTGTACCGGTTCCATTTTGCCGTTTTTGTTGCTGGTTCCGACGCCGTTTATTTACCGGTTCCGTCGCCATTCTTTTACCGGTTCCGTCGCCGAACTGGTTCGCGGTTCCACTCCTGGAGCCGTTTTTGTTGCCGTTTCCAGTCGCCGTGTTTGTTGCCGTTTCCATTGTCAAGGGACACTTTTTCGGAAACGGTGAAAAAACGGCCCTGCCGTTTCCGGGGCCCACTGAGTGCACCACTATGTGGAGGCAGCGGAGACGAAGCACGGACCCATTATCGCAGAGACGATCCTGATCTGCAAGGCGGCAGAGACGTACAAAAAGGCAGACACAGACGACAGCAACCGTCTTGGCAAGGTGACGGTGGCCATCAATCCATTGCCGAACGTGGCGATCCACATCAGGGGCACGGACTGCGAGGAGGCAACGATCAAGCGCATGAGGAGCCTCTCACCGACGTGTCTCAAGGGGGCGGCAGAGCCGGCTCGCCTACACACCAAGGGCACAAAGTCGAACATCTACGGGCCAAAGACGGACCTGGAACGCACATGCGAGAAGAACTTGAAGCAGCTTCAGCGCCGCTAGGAGCGTCCAGCTCCCAGCTGCCAGTTCACGAGTTGCCAGCAGATGCATTTGATGCTCGTTAGCAGACCCATGCCCAGGAGACGGCCCTGGAGATCAACTAGGAGGGGTCAGGCCCCCCGCCAGCCTTCCCCCCAAAGACAGACAAGGAAAACAGGGCGAGGAAATAAGCAAGGACCCCTACAGGCTCCCCAAACTGAGAGCGATGGCAGACAAAAGCAGCAATATGAAGCAACTGCATGCGTACGCTATGTACTACAGATTCATGAGGCAAGCGGTACAGGCCGCCCTACCAGACAGTATGGGACGGGGTGGCTTGGTGCGGTGCTAACTGGATTGGTGCGGACGTGAGACAACACGGACTACACTACTACCGATGTACCAACTTGGGATTCGATTTACATAGGAGTCTCCAGAGGGTACATGTTTACACTTGCAATGTACAGTGTCACACTAAGCATATGGGCTCCAACAGGGTTACACATACACATACACTGGGCGATACGACTTTCCAAAGGATGTGCGACAGCTCTCCCAGCGACGATGAATCCCACACGAGAAGATTGCTAGGCCTTCAGGAGACTGGTGTGCAGATGACAGGAGGCGGACAGTCGGACGTTCAGTCGCGAGCGCACGCAGCTATAGACCTGTTAGAGCGAAGGGAACACATGATCGAAGGCAGCAAGACAATGATGCACGTTTTTTGTGCCGGTCCAATTGCAGAAACGAAACCTTCAGAGGATGAAGACTGGGCTCCAAGAGACTGTGCCGAACCTTCTGCAATACACATGTGTCCATCTCACGCTTGAGGCATAGAGTCATTGAAAGTTTGACGAGCCGGATCCAACTTCTGGACGCCACACTCATTAGGATGAACGGCATCATTGAGTTGATGGTAGACAGATACAGTGCGACGAGGGGACCGTGGGACGAAATGAGAGCTTGCATGCGCACGCAGGAGGACAGGGAGGGGAGCATAGTTGGACAGGAGTGACCAAAGCAGTAGAGTGCGCTCGCAATGTGCAGACATGAAGCAGAACGAAGGGGACAACTCCCGATGCCCGCGCACGGTGCTGACCTGTGCCGAGCTCGTCTGTTCCCGAGCGCAACAATCCCATCGGCAGCTATTTTGACGGAGAGAGGTCTTGCGCTGCCGAAGCAATGGAAGGGGAGGGAGCAATAGTACCACCGTTTCGCGACTGCACGCCCATGTGCAAGACGGTGCACTACGAATTACGGAAGCGACGTGGTCACTATGATACGGTACTGCATGTGAAGAACAACACAGGACGGTGCGTACAATGAGAGGGCGTAGGACTGCTCCAGGGAGGGCCCCAAGTAGGACTCTGGAGGAGAGGGAACCCAAGTAGCCTCCCCGACTCCAGAAACCACCACCACCACAAGTACTACGACACGAAGGGGTGGAATGGAGAAAAATGCAACAGTACGTGCAACATAATCAACGGAGACGTGTGCCGTATGTGAGTGTAGGCTCGAGCCGACTGTCGAGCCGACTGCACCAAGTTGGGGGAGATCTGCCAGAGGCATACACAGCCGACCCGCCTCAGAGTACCAGAGGCACCGACCAGATGGTGCCCACGGTCCCAGAGGGAACGACTCTCAGCAGCAGAGGGACGATGATGGCTATTGAAATTGGACCTTACCAGTACGTGCTGCCGCAAGCAGAGACGATGTATGCGAACAGCTGGATGGAAACGATGAACAACGCGATCACGGTGCTCAGCAAGCGCATGAAGGGTCTCAAATACATCCCCGGCAGGAGTACGGCACGCACGGACCTTTGCAAAGAAGTCACAGACGATCAATCCCTCGCCAAGCACGAAGCCCTCCAGAAGTTGGATGAATCTCTTCGCCACACGGAGCAGGGCAGTTTGAAGATGTACCAGGTGAAGGCGAGGATGGAGACGAGCAAGGAAACGGCGGCGCCTCTCCCAAGCATGAAAAGCTACGGGGAACCGCAGATCGACGAGCTCACGCTGCCGACGACGGTCGCGCGTACGGAGAGTGACCAGGAGAAGAAGAACGCGAACCCGAAGTGGAATAAAGACGACCCGAGCACGTGGGTGTACTACGCTTGGGTGCCGAAGGATTCCAGCAAATGGATTGACGATAAGACAAGCAGCAGCAGCAGCGAGCAGCCGACAGCCAGTCGCCACCACGGACGAGAGAGAGAACAGGAGCAGCGAGGAGAGCATTGGTGCGAAAGCGAGTAGGTGACACGGCAGCTGCAATAAGGACGAGTCACCACAATCGCGAAAATACGATGCTGTGTTACCTCCGTCTGCGGCCCGCGAGCAGAAGACCTGACCTGACTTCGTTGATACACAGTCTCTTCACGCCAACGGTTGCGAACCAACATAGAGCCAGTGTCCCTGCGACTGTGGGGTGTTTGTTATGGGGGCCGCACCGTACCAAGCCACTCCGACACTACACAAGTTCCAGGACCAGGAGTGACAGGCGCCGTGCCAGTGCAGCTCCTAGGACCTGTGGTGGGGAGGGGGGGAGAGGGGGGGGTGGGGGTGGCGAGTGGGGAGACGGAGCGAGCGCCCGCGCCCGCCGTGGCGCCCGCGCCCGCCGTGGGACGCCGCCCTCGCGAGGCCCGCCCCCCCGCCGCCGCGGCCCTTCCTCCTCCTCCCTCCCCGCTCGTCGGTCGTCCGTGTTGTGTCTCGCCCGGAGGGGGCCCTCGCCCGCGCAGCGGGTCAGTGCCCATTCTCCCATTGTCGTGGCGGCCGCGGGCTCACCCCAGCAAGGGTCGCCCGCGCCCGCGGGCAGGCCCCACAAAATGAGCCCTGCCTCCACGTTCACCTGAGAGAGGCTAAAAATGTGCACCCGTTGCAGCACGACTCCCCGAACGCCTTTACCTTCTCCTCCTCCTTCCTCCTCCTCCTCCACCTCCTCCTCCTCCTGTTCTTGCTCCTCCCTCCTCCTCCTCCTCCTCCTCCTCCTCCATTTCTTTATATCCTCCTCCGCCTCCTCCTCCTCACCCACCTCCTTTCCCTTCTTCCTCCATCATCCTGCTCCTCCTGCTTCTCCTGCTGCTCCTCTATCTCCGTCCACGCTCCTCCTCCTTTCTC